ATAGGACAGGGGTGGGTATAGATCTGATGGCCAAGAAAGGGGTCTGAATCTGTCCGGGTTCTCCAGAGAAACAAAACCAATAAGATAGATGTATATAGATGTATGAAAGGGGATTTATTAGTGCAATTGGTTCACATGATAATGGACACTGAGAAGTCCCACAACAGGTTGTTGACAACCTAGAGACCCTGGGATGTTGGTAGCCTGGCTCAGTCTAAGGCCAGAGGCCTGAGAGCTCGAGGCAGTGGGGAGTACTGGTGTGAGTTCTGAAGTACAAAGGGTGGGGATCCTGGAGTTGTTGTACAAGGACAAGAGAGGAAGAGTGTGTATCCCAGCTCCAGCAGATGGATTGACATAGTCTCCTTTTCTCTATTTTTGTCCTCTCTGGCTCTCTGTCAGATTGGCTGTGGCCGCCAATGCTGAGGGAAGATCTTCCCTACCTAGTCCACTCAGACTCACAAGCCAGTCTCTGAAAACACCCTCAGAGACTGTATTAGGCCATTCTTGACTGCTATAAAGAAATACCTGAGTCTGAGTAATTGATAAGAAAACAGGTTTAATTGGCTCACAGTTCTGCAGGCTGTACAGGAAGCATGGCAGCATCTGCTCCTGGGAAGGCCTCAGGAAGTCTCCAATCATGGCAGAAAGCAAAGGGGGAGCAGGCACATCGCATGGCAAGAATGGGAGCAAGAGTGGAGGAGGAATGCCCCACACTTTTAAACCAGACCTCGTGAGAAGTTACTCACCATCACAAAGACAGTACCAAGCCATAGGGATCCACCCCCATGACCCAAACGCCTCCCAGCCCCACCTCCAGCATTGGGGATTATATTCCAACATGAGATTTGGCAGGGACAAATATCCAGACTATATCATTTTGCCCCTGGCCCCTCCCAAATCTCATGTCCTTCTCACATTTCAAAATGCCTTCCCAACAGTCCCCCAAAGTCTTAATTCATTTCAACATTAACTCAAAAGTTCAAAATCTCATCTGAAAAAAGGCAAATCCTTTCCAGCTATGATCTGTAAAATAACAAGCAAGTTACTTATTTCCAAGATACAGTGGGGATCTACATTGGGTAAACATTCCCATTCCCAAAGGGAGAAATCAGCCGAAAGAAAGTGGCTACAGGCCCCATGCAAGTTCAAAACCCAGGAGGGCAGTCATTAAATCATAAAGCTCCAAAATAATCGCCTCTGACTGCATGTCCCATGTCCCGGGCACTCTAGTGTAAGTGGGCATCTCTACCCCTGTGGATTTGCAAAGTGCAGCCCCCAGGCTGCTCTCATAGGCTGGCGTTGAATGTCTGTGGCCTTTCCAGGCACATGATGCAAGCCGCCAGTGGATCTACCATTCTGGGGTCTGGAGGACAGTGGCTTCCTTCTCACAGTTCCACTAGGCAGTGCCCCAGAGGAGACCCTGTGTGGAATCCCCAACCCCTCATTTCCCTTCCACACTGCCCTAGTAGAGGTTCTCTGTGGGGGCTATGCCCTTGCAGCAGGCTTCTGCCTGGACACCCAGGCTTTTCCATGTATCCCCTGAAATCTAGGTGAAGTCTCCGAAGCTTCCATCACTTTTGCGTTCTGTGCATCTGCAGGCTTAACATCATGTGGAAGCTGTCGAGGCTTTCAGCTTGCACCCTCTGAAGCAGAAGCCTGAGCTGTATCTGGGGCCTTTTGAGGCAAGGCTAGAGCCAAAGTGGCTGGGATGCAGGGAACAGTGTCCTGAGCTTACACGAGGCAACAGGGCCCTTGACCTGGCCCTCGAAAGAGTGGCTGAAAGAGTGATGTTGCCTCTGTGTATCAAATGCAGGCATGGCAGTCCTCACATCTGCCCAAGGTTATGGTCAGGGATAGATTAAGAACTGAACTCAAAGTGGACACATTCCTGCTTTAGTCATAAATTGTCTACTAGTTTTGTAAAGCTTGCTGTATCTTATTTTTCTTTTGACTTTTGGAAAGTCAAACATACAGAAGTAATATAAGTCCCTTGTGTCCAACTAGCAGCTCCTCAGTTAACAATTCACGGCCCATCTCATTTCACCTGCTCTGATTTTTTAGTTTTTCATTTTGTAATGCTTGTATTCAACACAGCAACATTTATTAAGTACTACCATGTGCCAGAGTTTGTATTCAATGAGTACGTAAAAATGGATAAGCTTCTTGTGATCCAATAGCAAAGGCACATGTATCCAAAGATTATATAATGTATATATAATGTGAGCAATAACTGGCATAAGCCAAAGGTTATGGGAACACAGGAAAGAGAGTGATTCGTGCTTCCCTGAGCAGTGGAGAAAAGGGAATTGGAGAACTCACAGAGTGAGATTGCATAAAGCACAGATGGGAGGAGAGATAAAGGTAGAAGAAAGAGTAGGCCAGGCATGGTGGCTCAAACCTGTAATCCCAGTACTCTGGGAGGACGAGGACAGATTGCTTGAGTGCAGGAGTTCAAGACCAGCCTGGGCAACATAGCAAAACCCCATTTCTACTAAAAATACAAATATTAGCTGGGCCTGGTGGTGCATGCCTATAGTTTCAGCTACTTCGAGGCTGAGGGGGGAGAATCACCTGAGCCTAGGAGGTTGAAGCTGCAGTGGGCTGAGATTGCACCACTGTACTCCAGCCTGGGCAACAGGAGTGGAACCCTGTTCCCACCCCAGGGCTCCCCCAACCACCCCGCAAAAAAAAGGTAGAGGAAAGAGCATTAGCGCAAAAGTCTTTTTGGGGCAAATGATTGGAATGGAGAATACTTGGAAGCAGTGATAGAGATATAGCTACAACCATGAGTTGGGCCACTTTCTCCAGGAAATTTAAATTTTCTTTTGTTGGTTTTCTTATTTTAATTTTTTAAGGGATAGGGTCTTGCTACATGCCCAGGTTTGTCTTGAACTCCTGGACTCAAGGCTATCCTCCCAACTCAGCCTCCCAAGCAGGTGGGATCACAGGTGTATGCCACCATGCCCAGCTTAAATTTTATTTTGTAGGGAATGGGGAACAATACATCCTTTTGAGAAAGAATGGGGCTGGGCACAGTGGCTCATACCTGTAATCACAGCACTTTGGAATGCAAAGGTGGGCAAATCACTTGAGATCAGGAGTTCAAGACCAGCCTAGGTAACATAGTGAGACCCCCCATCTCTAATTAAAAATAAAAAAAGATTTTTAAAACCCCAAGAACTGGAATGATGGGACCAGTATTTTTAAGGATAGTGCTAGTAACAGTGAGGAGCATAGATCTGATGGAGAGAGCCTGGGACAGGGAAATCAGTTAGGAGACTGGCTGACCAGAGCAGCTGAGCATTCGATCATAGAAGACAGGGTGAAATGCTACGCAGAGTTGCATAAACGTGGAATTGCAGAAGTAGGCTGAAGAGCTTGATCACTTAAGGCTTTATGGAGAAGATAACTTTTGACCTTGATCTTGAAAATGAAAATATAGATAGGAAATGAAGGGAAGGAATTGCAGTATTAGTGAACAGCATGTTCAAAAGTACCGGGCTACAAAAATGCGAGGAATGTTGAGGAACTCACAAGGAGGGAAAGGAAGCCAGCTGGCTGGCTAACAAGCATACCATGAAAGTAGTGCCAGCAAAAGATGACACTTTAATGATTCCAAGACAGGCAGTTGAGGCAGGACTTGGTGACTAATAGGAAATGCTGGATGAGGGAGAGAAATGAATTGCTAATCTGAGGTTTCTAGACAAAAAATATTTTTAAAGGTAGAACATTAAATAAGACAAAGTGCAAAGGCAGGTTAACAAGGAAAGCTTTGTATAGTTGTGGACATGCTTAGTATGTACCTGTGGAACATCTGGAGGAAGCGTCCTGTGGGCTTTCAGAAATTCAAGTGTAGAAAGTAAATTTGGAGTTGTCAGCAGGAGATGATGAGAGGCTGAAACTAATGAAAAAGTGCCTATTTGTTGTTCTGCTTTTATAATACAAACCAGGTGTACCGAAATCCCTTTGTGAAACATTTCCCTCTGCTTGATAAAGGTTAGAGTGTGACACTCAAGAATAGTGATGTTTTCTGTCTTAGTTGCTGTGGAACCTGAATACTATAACCAGCATCTTTTATATAAGGGTTGTCTCTGCTTTCCTCAATAATATTTATAACAGTATTTTTTTACGACAGCAATCTATAAACAGTAATTCAGTTGGGGGATATCTAGGGTAGCTTTTCATTGTAAACATGGCCACACCTTCCTCAGCTCACTGCATGCAGAATGTGCTCCTAGTCCACAGACTCATAGTTTCTGTTTCTTACTCCAGGTTTCATCGTCCATAACGAAGTGCGAGACTGTTTGGAAACAGAGACTGATCATCTTTAGGGGAAGCCCTGCTTCCTGAAAACCTGATATTGCACTGGGATTTGAATGTGTGTGTTTCCGTTTAACTTGTGGTGAAGGAAGTGTGTGACTCAGCTTGGTTGGGAAATGCTCCTCACCTGTGCGGTCCAGATGGCTCCAACAAGCAAAGGGAAGGATGAAGTGACTCTTGCTGCCCAGAATGCACAGCGATGGTAAGAGACACCATGGATATTCTTCATCAGAAGCTTTAATCAAAGAAGATGAGCAGATGACAATCGCTGGCTCCCTGTTACCAGAAAGCCAAATTTTATGATGCGGGTGAAAGAAAAATATAGATAAAATTGCTGGGCACTGAAAAGGGGTGGGAGTTGAAAATCAGAAAGAAAAATATTTCATTATGTTAATGAAGAAAAGAGAAAACTGAAGTATAAATGTATTTTTGAAGTAGTTATTGGGTAGCTGAGAACTTAGTAAGGGATTTAGGAATCTAACCTCCCGATATGGATTCCTCAAAGACTTGATCTGAGAATATTCTTGTTTCACCATTATGTTGGTACAGTATAGTACCACAATTTTATGTTGTGCCAGTGAATCCAGTTGCCAGAAATAAGTCTGAATGTTTTCATGCATCTTTTTCTTAAATGCGAGAGCTTCTACTGACTTTTAACAAGCATGCTTACCCAAATTTTGTTGCATGCTTTTAAGTAGCATTAGCTATACACACTTGACATTTTTAAATTTTCCTTTCCTAGTGTACCAACCTTCACAGGCAAAGAGGACTGAGAATAAAGTCAGATGTAATGTGACCCTAGAAAACTGTAGCAAGCTTCAGAAATAAATCTTTTGATCTTTCCCTATCTTGATTAGATCCAAAGTCAAAGCAACCATACTTCACCTAAAGAAGACAGTATTGACAATCATGACACCTGTTATGAAAACTTGACTCCAAAGTTAAAATTTAAGCAAGATACAAACGTGCTGCCTGCAGTTAGTCCTGCATGGGAATAAGGACTAGTTATTTTTTAGTGCTGCATTTTTTAAAAGTTGGATTGCTGCTATTAAAAAAAAAAAGAAAGAAAAAAAAAAGGACACAGATAAAAAAAAAAAAAAACCCAAAGGCTTAACAGAACATGGAAAGTTTCTACTACGTTGTGTGTGAGGAAATCCTCATCTTGTATTTTAAGAATCTGCAGATTGCATCCATAAATACAATACAGTATTTACTGTCAATGCAAAAGAATCAGTGAGATTAAAGTAGTGGAAGCTTTCCCTATGAGCCTACAGTCTGTATTGTTTACATTAAGAAACGCTCTATTGTTGTGTTCCTATTTTCCATGGAGTCACAGGCACAGTATGACTTCTGCTCCCGAATACATATAACCATATGTAAATACCACCTTGCATTTAATTGTTCTTCACGATTGTTTTGTGCCCCTTTAATTAAAAACACATGAAATGAATAACAAAACAAGACCCAAGTAGAGTTTATTTTATTCTCAGAGTTTGGACTACAATTTTCTGAGATGTTTCTGGTTCAGGACTGTAATTTTCTATTTCAACCCAAAAGTAAGCATTTAACCTGGTGAATAAATGTAGATCCTGCCATTCATTGGTATTTTGAAGAACCACTTGAAATTGGATCATTTTATTTAAAAATAAAAAATGATAATGCCAGTTGGCCTATTATTAAAAGCCCGGACAGTGTTAGCACTAGGAAAAGTAACCAGCATTACTGCACCTCTTGTTAGGCTCTGTGCATTAACAAAATACACATAGAGTCTGTTGTCATTTCACTAATAGGATAAGACAAATTTTTTGCTTTGAAAAAATTTTTCTGTGTGCCCAGGTATCTGTCTCTGACTGAGGTTTTGTCTGTTTTATAGTGTTTCAATCCAGCCATAAAAATTAACTTGTGATTTTTTTTTCCCAGAGTCATGCTTTTCCTTAATTATATTTTTATTTTATTATTTTAGTGTCTTGGGAAAAATACCAAGAGATATAACGTTTCTTTTAATTGTCTATGCTTAATCATCTTTAAACACTTTAAATTTCTAACCACAAGACCTCTCTATAATGGTAAATATAAGACATCACCATCTTATCACTCAAAGTACATGTTATTGAAAGTTTTTATTTGGTTGATAAAAGGAACAATTTCTTCCCACTTTTGATGCCTATGACGCAATTTTTTATTGCCTACAATGAGATACACTCAGTACAAAAAATGAAAATCTGGTATTTCAAAAATTTTTTTTGTATAATAGGTCAGATTTATTAACTACTCATACTTTTTCTTCATACTAATCGATACCGTTAGAAAATTTTTTTTAACTTAGATAAAAGTTTAAAAGTTAAAAAAAAAATTAGCCACTGCTAGTCTACTATTTAGGAAATTGGAATCAGCAATTATTTTATTAGAATGACGGCTTGAGTAAAAAGCTGTGGAAAGAATTAAAGGATTATAAGCTAAGTTGTATTTTGCGGAATATGGTTCTATTTTAGTAGAGCAGAGACGAACCATATCCCTACTGGCCGCCCAGCCAGAAGTCTCCTACCTGGGGGCCCTAAAGGGATCTAGAGGTCTGGCCCACCCTCCACGCATAGGCACCTCTGCCCACCACCAGCGTTTCAGCAATCCAACCAGTAAGCATATGCCGTATAGGAAAAATAAAAGTGTGTGTGAATTGGATTTCTTTTGTTGTAACACAATTCCAGGTTTTTGGCTATTTAAAGTTTGACATTAGGCTGACAGTGAGGAAGTAAGTGGGTTTTCCTGAGTTCCCAAGATATGATTAAGGAAGAAAACAAACCCATCTCCAGGAAGATCCCAGTCCGGAAAGAACTAGACAGATGTAAAAACCAAAGTGACCAATTTAGTTTTCTTTAAATGAAGAACAAAACATTAATATTAAGGTATTAAGAAGATGCTCAGCAGGCTTGATCGGCATCTTCATGGTCATTACCAATCGGTCTGACAAAATAGTTCTCTGGTAGTCAGCATTCATTCAAGGCAGCTTGCCTGATAATTTCCTGTGTATGTGAAGCGTCTCACACTTTTACGTGTTAGCTATAATTCCTTAAATGACTTAACTGAAATCTGTAATAGAGAACCATTTTGGCATCTGAACAGCTATTTTACATGGAGGAAAAAGCACACACATCTGTCTCTCTGCTTTACCCAGAAAAACTGACTTTCTGGTTTCATCTTCATATTGTTTAGTAGCATAATAAGAGTAGTCCTTTATCTTTCTCTAATGTTAGTAAATATATTCTGTTAGTAGGAAGTTCTGAAATTGAAGGGAAAATATATTTAAGGAAATAAAGGAATTGAATACACCCTTCAAAAATCGCCAAATACTGAAAATAAGAGATGAGTCCTTAAAACCCGAGTCAAAAAAGGTCCAGTTTTACAGCCTGCAATTAATTCAGGGCTGCATTGGCATTAAAAAAAATTAAATAAATATAAATGCATATTATATATTTAGTAGCTTACACTTAAAAGAGGAAAAGATTGCGTTAACACTGCATGTGCTGGTATGTACCACATTAACACCTAACAGCCATTTTATTTATACTTCATAGAACCAGGCAGATACCACTCTGAAAAATCATACTGTATTCACAATGGAAAAGGATAGTCTTGTCTACCACAGAGTAGTATGTCTACACTTAGTAATGAAAACTTCCTTCCTTTCCTGCTCAAACATTTCTTCAGTCTGTTATTATTTTTAAGTGCCCCTTGCTGCAAATTTCAAACGGAGCAAGAAATCTTCCTCAGAGTAGGTGGTTTAGAATTAAATTAGTACAATATATATGAATTTATGTCATTTACCCCTGAGTATGGTAGAACTGTTAAAGCATTCTTAAATTCCAATTATATGAAGCCTGTCATTACTAGGAAAAGTATATTCTTTGGGATAAGAATTAATTTCTTCACACCATTAGAGTATGTTGTGAGTAGTAAGGAACTACTTAGATGCAATTTATTTACAGAATTGTCCCTTGGCCTCTTGAAATGGCTAGATCTTTCACTACTGAGTAGATAGTTTCTACTTACTGGCAGGATAGATTACATTGCTTTACTGGACAAAGCAGAATGAACTTACACAACTAAAGTATGTCCTATATTGGCCAGGCGTGGTGGCTCACACCTGTAATCCCAGCACTTTGGGAGGCCAAGGCCGGTGGATCACTTGAGGTCAGGAGTTCAAGACCAGCCTGACCAACATGGTGAAACCCCGTCTCTACTAAAAATACTTAAAAAAAAAAAAAAAAAGTATCCAGGCATGGTGGCTTGTGCCTGTAGGCCCAGCTACTCGGGAGGCTGAGGCAGGGGAATTGCTTAAACCCAGGAGGCGGAGGTTGCAGTGAGCCAAGATCGTGCCTCTCCACTCCAGCCTTGGCAACAGAACAAGACTGCGTCTCAAAATAATAATAATAATAATAATAATGGATAAAATAAAATATGTCCTTGAGGGAAAAGCAATGACAGAGTAATCACCAAATTAATAGGAACATCTTTCTAGAGAAAGTACATCCCCAGTTAGTTTAAACCCAGGTTTCAGAGAAGCAGCATTGGGCTCTACTATAAAGGCAGGCAGCAACCAAGAGGTGGTAGGGAGAGAGATAGAGTACTCTCAGATAATTCCCATTTTCACTTCCAATTTCCTTTTCGTAATCGTTAAGCTTAAAGCTATGTATGGAAATGCAAAGCATCATTAGCATTTCTAGAAAGCAGCTGGAACCTTACCCACCAATGCTTTTTTGAAGACGGTGTCATCCCAAATTTAAAAATCCTATTGTATATGTTGTGAAATTTCTGGCAAAAAAGTGGAGGATCCTGTGGCAGCTATTCCCACCTAAAGCCAACCATATAAGGATGAGTCATTTTTTAGCCATGCTAGGATTTACTGCACACACACACAAAATGTCATTTAGCTTGTCGCATTGCTAGCACAGCTGCACATATGAGCAAAGCACTGTTGGTCCATGTTTCTCAGTGGGGGTGCTCTTGGCATTTGGAGCTGGGCAGGTCTTTGTTGTACAGAATCGTCCCATGCATTGCCAGATGTTTAATATCCTAGGCCCCTGCTGACTAAATGTCAGTAGCATTCTCAGTCACTGTAAACACCAAGAATAAAAAACCTTCCCCCAGGTTCAAATACCCTCTCTGGGAGGTTGGTATCACCTCCCCTGAATGCCACTGTCTACTGCAATTTGAGGACACATAGAGAAAAAGTGCCTATCCCCAAACATTGTCTCTGCTGCCTTGCATTTCTTTGGGCCCTGAATGGTTTTTCTGCCTTCATTTTTCAAGCCTTTGTCTCAGTGCAGCTTTAATTTGCCAGTTCTTCAGGGAGGAGGTTACTGGGCAGCCTCGGCCATTCAGTGGGCATGGGGACTTGGCCTAGTCCCTATATATACTTAAAGGAGAGATCATACATGAAGAAGGCTTTTTTTTTTTTTTTTGCCTTACAACTTTTCTTTAGAACCACATTTTTGGTCATAATCCTTGTTACTGTCATGAGGATTGTTGCATGGGTTAAACACAAACACAGACTAACAGTGCACTTGAACAAACCTGGTGGTCTTTGGAAATAAGTTACCATTAGATTTCACCTGGTTATGCTGCATCCCATAAGTTCCAAATGAATCGCCTGTTTATCCCATTAACAAAGCATTTCATTCACACGCAAATGCTTGAATTTCCCCCGTATAAATGTAGTCATGCGGTTCAACTTTTCTAATAAGATTTGTGAATGCTGCATTATGATGAAAATGTGGATTAACTGGATTGCATGCCTATTTTTCATACTTCAGTGATGGTCACACACAAAACAAGATGAGTTTTACTTAGGTGAAACATTATTGAACTGTACTAACAATACAGAAACATATTCTCTTTGTCGCTTTGTATCACCAAAACTGAATGGTAAATATGTTATTCGGATGAATTGTGGCTAGCAAAATGGAATTCACTTAGCCACTATAATTTTTTAAAACATTAAAATTTCTAAATTTTTTTTGAGGCCAGGTAACGCAGAGTCAATAAAGGTGGTTATATTGTAAGCTTTTAGATGGTGCTTAAGAATTCTTATCTTTTTAAATCGCAGTATTTTTTTTTAAGAATAAATTGAAAGGAGCAAATAAGGCAGAATGCCACTCTACCCTCAGGTCAATTTTATGGTATATGAAAATGCCAATAATATTTGTGCCACTTGCCAACTCGTGAGAGGGGGGCTTTTCCCTTACTGGTTACTTTTGTTATAGTTTGACTATGTCATTACATTGTTTAGAGAGCCTCCACAACCAGAAGCTGCCACTGCAGTGCTAACTCGCCTTCAGAAAGAATCAGAATGATTCAAGGGTCAAACCACTTTCATCCCTTAAAATATAGGGACTAATATTTCTTTTTCTTGTTTTTTAAACATTTCTTCTGTGGCTTAGAAATGTGCCAGTGTGTTCAAAACATTTACACCAATTTCACCAGATTTAATACCTACTAAAAATTCAAACGAGTTTCTCTCTTTCTTTCTTTCTTTCTTTCTTTTTTTCTGTGTAACAGTGATTTTTAAATAATGGACTATCTGCATTCTTTTGTTATTTCACACTTCAGTTAAAATGATAACAATGGTAAACTGTGATCATTATCAGACTGACTGAATGCTTTCTGATTTCCAGTGAGTGATCTAGTTCTACGTATTACACAGGTGTAATATCTGTGAGTGTAAATAACTGGAACTGTACACTGATTAACATGACAGTTTCTCTTTTGTTGTTGTTCTTATCTGTACTGTATTATAGTATGTGGGTATAAATATCTACAAGTATACACACATAAGTACTTGTATTCCACTATTGTAACCTGAAAGAAAGACTATGTATTCTCTTTTTTAATTCCGTACTGGTGTTTGTGTTATTTAAAAAGCAAAATTCTGCTCTATTTAGTTGTATAATATTAGAGGATACTTTGCTGTGCACAATTCCAAGTGCCTTAGAACATTGTTTAGCTTTCCTGAGTATATGTAAATCCATATATGTATAAAATTGGGAAAAGTTACCTCAATAAAATCATTGGGAAATCCCCAGTTTTAGTTTGTTCCAGTTTCTATTATATTTGGATAGTGCTCAGCCTTTTTAAATGAAAAAAGAAAAAAGGGTAAGACAGCTTCACTAATTGCCTGTTATTTCAACTTCACCTAAGTTGTTAACACCTCTTTGTATGTAAGGCCTTGAGACATGTACTTTTTATTTAAAATGTCTGTCTACAGAATTACTGCTCTTAAAAGAAACTTACAGTATTTTTTTAACTTCTATCTTTTTATATCTGAGGTATTTGATATTGATGTTTT